TAACGAAGCGGCACGTCTGGAAACAGCTCAGAGCGGCACTGGATGTCCACAGGGCTGCTGCAGAGGGTGTGGCCGGACGCACGGAGGTTGTCATAAGTCTCGAAGTCGCCCCCTGAGATCCCAGGCACGGGGTAGCTCTCATCCAACCAGCCTGTCCAGGTGCAGCGGGGCTCACAGCTTGTGGTGGAAGAAGGGGTGGTGCCAGGGCTAGGGGGCAGGGAGGATGTCTGTGCTGGGCTGGTACGGAGGGGTGTGGTGGTTTGGGGGGCTGTGGAGGCCATGCTGGTTGGGGTGCCCCCAGGGGTGGACTGAGATGGGGTTGAGGAGGTGAAGCTTTCATTGAGTGTGGGTGTGGTGGGATGAGTCTGTGTGGTAGCTGAGGTGGAGGGTCCTGGGACCCCCGATGACCTGAGGCCCTGGGCAGTGGGTGGGGTGGGAGTCTGGGCTGTGGTGCTGGTGGCTGCAATCGTGGAAGTGGCTCTAGGAGTGGAGGTGGCTTCAGTAGTGACTGTGGCTGTGGTGGTTGAGGTAGCTCCGGGGGTGGAGGTGGCTGGAGGCGTGACCATGGCTGTGGTGGTCGAGGAGGTGTATCTGGCACGGGATGTGAGCGTGGCTGCAGTGGTGGGGATGACTCTGGGGGTGGAGGTGGCTTCAGCCGTGGCTGTGGTAGTGGGCATTGGCCTGGCCGTGGAGCCGCAGTGGCTGTAGTCGTCACAGCAGAGCACACGCACGTGGTAGTTGAGGCAGGTCTGACCGGCCGTCTGCTTGTGGTTGCGGCAGATTAGGCCATACTCGACCTTGCACTGCACCTTCTGCCCCAAGCTCTCCAGTGGCACGCCCGGGGACAGCACAGCCTCACACTCGATGGCCATTGGCCATGGGCACACCTGGCCGCCCGCATCCATGATGTGATAGTAGGTTTCAATGTCACCGCCGTAGGGCCCTGGCTTGGGCTGGTCACTGTCTAGCCAGCCTGACCAGTGACAGGCAGGTTGACACTCAGTGGGAAACAAGGTTGTGCTGGTGCCAGGGGCGGTAGGGCTTCCAGTGCTGTGGCTGAGACTAGATGTGGGGGGAGCCCTGGTGGTCCGGGTGCTGGTGGCCCCAAGTGTGGAGGTCTGGGGAGGGGTCCCAGGGCTGCTGGTGACCCTAGTCGTCGTGGGTACAGACAAGGTCTGCGTGTTGGTGGCCCCAGGTGTGGAGGTCTGGGGAGGGGTCCCCGGGCTGCTGGTCACCCTAGTCGTAGTGGGCACAGCTATGTGCGTGCTGGTGGCCATGGACGTGGGGACCCCCATGCTGCTGCTGCTGGTCTCCCCTGTAGACGTCGGGGCTGTCTTCGTGGTGGCCGGCGTGGAGGGGCAGTGACTGCGGTCCTCACAGCAGAGCACCCGGACGTGGAAGTTGTTGCAGTATTTGGGGGTCCCAAGCTGCTCCATGTTCCTGCAGATCAGCCCAAAGGTGACGTTGCACTGCACCACCTGGTCCAGGT